GAAAGACCCCTATGACAGGCGGTGGGTCAGCTGAAGAGGGAGGCGAAGAGGGTGGAGGCGCCAGGTGCGGGCGGCCGGAGGGTCGGTGGAGCGCCGCCGTTGGCCGAGGGCGGGCAGAGGAAAGTGGGCACGATGAGGTTGCACACCCAATTCGTTGGTAGCCCCGGCACCGTCAGTGGAACCGGCTGGGGCGCAACTGGCGCGCAGAACACGCACACGGACGCGAGATGAGCCCACAGATAACACCACGACACCCATGATTTATGATACACGACACACAACACGACACGCGCACAATTACGACAAACGACATCGACAACGTACGGGCTGCAGCACGAAGAGCTTCGAGTTTCTTGTGTCGGCTGTCTTTGTTTGCTCCTTCCCTCTTCTCCGCTCGCGCTCGCCGGCCGTGCTCTGAATTGGATGCGCGTGCGTGTGCGTGTGTGCGTGCGTGTGCGTGTGTGCGTGCGTGTGCGTGTGCGTGTGCGTGTGCGTGTGCGGTGTGTGCGTGTGCGGTGAGTGTGGATTTCCAGGTCAGTTGGAAGTCAGACAGAAGAGGTGGAGAGGGGCGTGCGGTACCGGTCCACATGGCGGGAGGCTGTGTGAGGGAGGCGAAGCGGGACTTGACCTGCGGGTTCTCCTTCATCAGAATGCGCAGGCTCCGTCGCACCAGCACTTGCTTCTGCGGCCCTGTCTTCGTCTTCGTCGTCGTCGTCTTGGTGGTGGTGGTGGTCGTCATCGTGTCGCCAGCGCCTACGTCCAGCTCTCTGTCGACATCATCGGCGTCATCGGCCGGTGGCAGGACCTCCTGGACGTCGGCGAAGGGCTTGGGCGGAGCTCGCCGTCGCGCGGGCTTCGGCTTGGCGGCAGCGGCGGCCTTGGCCTTGGCCGTCTTCCTCTTCGTGGTGGTGGTGCTCGCGGGTTTGGCCGGAGAGGGAGGCTCGACGGCGACCGTCATCGAGGAGTCATCAAACTGGTGCTCGGCCCCCTCTTCGTCCATGAACACCACCGTTTGCTGCTGCTGCTGTTTCTTCTTTGGCTTCGGCTTCACCACCTTTGGTAGGTGCAAGTCAGTCGGGTCGCGTGAGTGCGATGATGCGTGTGCGCCTGGGCGTGTGCGTGTGCGGTTGTGTGTGCGGTGTAACCTTTTGCTGTACAGGGGAGGCGACCGCAGCAGCGGCGGCGAGACTGGCACGCTTGGCGATTCGCTTGGGGGCGATGGGAGTGGGGTGGGGCGCGGGCGGAACGGCGGCGGCCGCCGGGGCTGAAAGCCGACCCCGCCGCACTGCCACCCTCGCCGCCTTCGCCTTGGGCTTGGGCTTGGGCGCAGGCGCCTCTTCTTCATCTTCTTCTTCACCACACCATCCTTGTTCTTCTTCTTCCTCCTCTTCTTCTCCAAATGTTGGTTTCTGCAGCGGTCCATGTTAGAATCGCTTCTCGTGTAGAGACAGAAGAAGGTGGCGGTCGTGTGGTATGGTGATGTGTGGTATGGTGGGCCGCGTACCAGGGGCTTGCCGCCGACGAAGGGCTGGGCGGCGATGAGCTTCGCCCGCGCCGCAGACTCAGCCTGCTTCGCGAACTGCACCTTGTTGTGTGCTGTGGCCATATGGAAAAATAAAATAAATAATTTGATAATAAAAATAAAATTAAGTTAATAATAATCATCAAAAAGAAGGGCAGCACCTTGTGCGTGGCGGACGGCACCGAGGATGAAGCGGTTGGCGGCGGGCTTGTTGAGACGCATGCGCACGGGGGCGGCCCCGAATACCGAGCTTTCTTCTTCTTCTTCTGCTTCTGCGCCTCCACCAACCGGGAAGGCCTGCGCGAATATCGACATGACGAACGACGATCCCCTCCCGGCTGCTGCGCTCGTTTGTGTGCTCTTCTTCCTCTTCTCTTTGGTGTGTTTGTTGCCGTTGCACAGAAAACGATAAAACCAAAATTTCGGCAAAGCCAAACGCATTTCGAAATTCATTCGGAAACGAATACAAAACTAGCAAAACCAAATAAAAACAAAAAGAGAAAGTGCGCTGCGCCGTCAAGAGGCGAGCGTTGAGGGGCCTCTGGCGGGGTGGGCGCGGTGGAAGAAGTGGTGCAGGCCCATGCGCGACACGCGAGTGCGGCGGGAGCCGGTCGGCATCGGAGCGTACAGCCTAAGTCCCTCCTGGAATCAATCAACGACAGAACACAACGCAGTTCAACGTGAGAACGTGAGAAACATGAACTGCCCGCTAAGGGAGGGAAAAGTGGAGCTCCGTACCAGCTCGCGGGCGCTGATCGAGGCCCAGATTCGGCGCGGCCCGCGGCGTCCAGAGGCCGGTGGTGGGTGCGGGCTCGTGGTCTCCGTCACCATCTCCATCTCCATCACCGTCTTCTGGTGTTGGTGCTGGTGCTGGCGACGTGACTCGTCAAGCGCATCTTGTTCGTCGTCGTTGTCGTTGTCTTCTTCTTCGTTGGCGCTCTCCTCGCCCAGCATCAGGATGCCCAGTTCGCGCTCGTCGTAGTGGTCTTCTCCGGCCGCCTCGCTGCCGACGTCGTCTTGGGCGCCACCGTTGCTGTGATCGGCTTCGTTTTCATGGTGGTCCGCCTCGACGTCGCTGTCCTCCGTGCCCTGCACCTCCTGCGGCCGCTCGCCGTCGATCGCTCGGCCCGCGGCGTTCTCTTCTTCGTCGTCTCCATCGTGTGCCTGGCCGACACTCATCAGCCTCTCGACGCGGCGCCTCTTGTGCGCGCGGTCACCAGCGACGACGACCGCGTGCCGACGCATCTCTGCGTCTTCGTTATCGCCATGGTCGACTCCGCCTTGAAGTCCACCGCCCGACCGCGGTGGTCGACCGGTCAGCTCGTCGTGGTTGTTGTGGGCCGCGTCTTCTCGTTTCCTCTTCTTCTTCCGCAGTTCTGTTGCGAATGTCTCGCAGGCGCTCGCGGCGCGGAGGAGGCGCGTCGATGGCTGGCGCACGGGCGACGCGGCTGGGCTCGTCGAGCACGAGAGCGTGACGAGCGACAGCAGCGCACAGTCCGCCGATTCCTCCGCCGCCGCCGCCGGGCTGCTGCTGCTGGGATCGCCGACGCTGACGACATTGGCGGCCTCTTCCCTTCGCGCAGCAGGCTCTGGGTCGGCCAGGGCCGGCAGGACCAGGCGACCACGACGCGGAGGCCGTTGCGGCGCCGACACGTCGGCGTGCACCCGGCTGGGCGGCTGGAGGGACCACGAAGACGATGAAGCCGACGATGAAGATGATGACGACCAGGGCGTCAATGAAGGTGGCGCGGGCGTCCAGGAGGTGGTGGCCATGGTGGTGGTGGGTGGTGAGGCGCAGAACGGGCGGTGGATGGCGTCGAAGCTGAAGACGGGGAGGCGGAGGCCCCGCGGCGAGGCGGAGGTGTCGGGGGTCATGGTGGCCGGCCAGCAGCGCAGGGAGGAGCAGGAGGAGGACGAGGCGCGGCTGGCTGCTCGGCGCGGCGCTACGAGGAAAGTCCGCCATTCGGCGCCCCTGCCCGGCAAGCTGGCATGCCGCCTCTTCTCCTCCTGCACAAAGAGATCAAAAATGGAGTTATAAATCCAACGTGTCCTGTTTTCGTTTGTGGAGATGAGGTGGATGCAACAAACCTCGATAAAGTTGTGGTGCTCTTGCTTCTCTCGGTCTGCCCACACGCAGGGCCAACAGAAACAGATGAGACGGCACATTTTAGTTCGCTGAAATAAAGATGAGCTCATCTAGAGATGATGAAAGATGAGAATGCAAAACCTTGGTGGTAATCGTTCAGAAGGGCCTGGAACGGGTTCGTGTGCATGTGCGTCGAGGGGGGAAGAACGAACACCTGCGCAAGAGGTCCTGCTTCCCGCACTATCTATGGTCGGGCCATGACACGACATTCCACACCGCCTTACAGGAGAACTGATGGACAACGTAACGGTTACGTTGACATTGACACCAATCCCAAAAATTTGGGCATACCTGACATTCTTGGCGTGAATTTCGTGTGGTGGCTGAAACAAGTGAAACAAAGCACAACAGGTTACAGTCTGGGCAGACTCCAATCGGTGCGTGGCCTTTATCTCTTCACCAACCAATAGAAGGGCCTGCATGACTATAAAAGTGCCCACACGCTGCCCCACATGACACACTCTTAACAACCAGTTCTTCTCTCCACACTCCAACAAGCAACTATGAAGCTCTGCACTCTTCTCTTCGCCTTTGTCTGCCTGAGCTTGCTTGCCCTCGCTCTCGCCCACGACGGTGAGTTCTCCCAACTAGGACTGGCTTGTTACCATGCAACCAGCACAAGCTAACATCTGATTGTTTATTGGTCAACAGACTACGACCACAGCGACAAGAACGACAACAAGGACCACGACTGGGACTGGGACTGGAAGAACGACAAGGACCACGACTGCGATGACAAAGAAGATGACGACGACGACAAGGAGGAGGGCAGGTGCTACTGGAAGTGCGTCAAGGTGTGCCACAAGAAACCGCACCACACCACCTCCACCAAGAAGCACACCACCACGACCCCCAAGCAGACCACCACGACCAAGAAGCACACCACGTCGACCACTACCGAGGAGTGCCCCAGGGAGACCACCACGACCAGGAAGCACTCGACCACCACGACCGAGGACTGCCCCAAGGAGACCACCACGTCGACCAGGAAGCACACAACGTCGACCACTACCGAGGACTGCCCCAAGGAGACCACGACCAAGAAGCACTACACCACGTCGACCACCACCAAGGAGTGCCCCAGGGAGACCACCTCGACCAAGAAGCACTGCTGATCTGCCGCCGGGCAGGCGCACGAAATAAATATTGTGGATCGCCATCACCGCGACACAAACGGCCACCTTCGCAGGTGCAGCGGGTCGCTAACTGATCGCACCAGCACGCACGAGTTGTTGCTCCACGTCCTCGAGCCCCCCACGGTTGCCGAAGGTATAGATGTCCCAATCGTCCCACGCCGAGTCGGCGTATTGGGCCAGCTCACGGCGCACGAGCGACAGCGGGGTGGTGCCGTCACTGTTGGCGAGGCCCGCGTCTGCGCCATGGCGCAGCAGCAACTCCACCAGTTTCCTGGACAACGGCCATCAGGTGAGCAAACGTGCGTGTGCGGTGATGCGCGTGCATGTGTGCGTGCGGTGCCGTTGTGTGTGGTGTGCACGTACCCGGACCCTCTCTTCGCTGCGTGAGACAGTAGCGTCAGGCCTTGACCGTCGATTGCGTTGACCTCCGCGCCGCCGCGGAGCAGCGCCTCCGCCGCGCTCATTCGGCTCCACTTGATCGCATAGCCCAAAGGGCAGTGCGAGTTTGGGTCGGCCCCCTGCATCGGCCGCGGTTTGTCGTCGTCATTTCAAGTAAAATCAAAATATAAAATAATGACAATTAAAAAACAAGAAGGCTAAGCGCACCTTTGCCAGAAGCAGCTTGACCATCCGCCTGGTCCCGGCCTGGCAGAGGGGAGTCAGGGTCCAGGAGGGAAGGCGCATCAGCGCGTTGACGCTGACACCGAAGCGCAGGAACAGTTCCACCAGCGTCTCGTCATTTTTCTGCACCGCCTCCATGAGACCTGCGCACTCGCTCCCGTGTTAGTCTACGTACATACACCTCGACGGAGATGGATGGCAGCGCAACACAAGACAGAGCACACGAGACCTGGTACCGCGTCGGCTGGGCGGAGCTTCCCGCTGAGCAGGAGCACGCCCACTATCAGCTCGCTGCGGCTCGAGACGGCGTGGCCGAGGAGGTAGTCTGGCACTTGGTCGTAGGACGGGTGGCTCACCACCGCGCGTACGGTGTCGACGTGACCGGCACTGATGGCCGTCGTGAGAAGCAGGACACTATGATCACACGCGCCTTTCCCTGCGTCCAGCGCAGCAGAACCATGAGACAATGCACACGGCACTGCACACGACACGACACAACTAACGACACGACACGACACGACACGACATGACACGACCAATGACACGACCAACGACACGACACGACCAACACGACACGACCAACGACACGACACGACCAACACGACACGACCAACGACACGACACGACAACGACACGACACGACAGACATGGGCAAGAAGGCATACCGAGGTGTTTAGGGAGGGAGTCGAGCAAGAGGACGACTATCTCCGTGTGGCCATTCCACGCCGCCAGGTCGCAAGCCATCCTCGCAAACTGCAGGTTAATGGGGCACCTTTCCCACCACGCCCCGCCATTCTCGTCTGATGCCGACGCGAATAAGTGTCTGCAGCATCGTGTGTCGTGTGTGTCGTGTGTGTCGTGTGGCACCTGCAGGGAAGTCGAGGAAGCAGGCCACCACGTTGGTGTGGCCAGCCACGACTGCTGCCATGAAGTGGTTCGGCCTCCGCTCGGTCAGTTTGGGCATGATGAAGTCTGGGTCACGCACTGCTGCTGGCGTCAGTCCACTTGCGCGTGTGACAGGACACACACCGACAGCACACGGCACAACACACACGGCACGACACACGATCTTAGAAGAGAAGGTGCGCACGCAGAGCGGAGACGACGCCGGCGATGCCCTGCTCGCAGGCCCATTGCATGCGCTGGCCGACGGTCGACCGCGGGCCGTGATGCGCGAGCCATCGCACGGCCGGAGCGCACTTGGCCCGGTGGTCGACGACCGTCGCACCACCGCCCAGAAAGAGCGTGCGGTGGTGAGCGCGCCACAGGTGAGAGTCGGCAGCCAGGTGCCGCCAGGCCTGGCACACCAGCGGCACCCGCTCAAGCAACTGACCCCCCCCCGCAGACCACCAAGTCAGCCCAATAATAATAATGGAAAAAAAATGAAAAACAATTCAAAAGAGTCGAGGCGTGGGACTGGTACGTCGTTGGGGGGAAGGAAGGAGAGCACTGCGAGCTGCAACTCGTACGGCAGAGTCTCCATTCGCAACCAACACAAAATAACAACTTACTCGAGGGTGTGAGAATGAGGGCCTAACGGTTTGGCGGGGGAACGAGTTATATTTATTCTTTTTGCTGCTGTCGACGCAAGTCGAGGCCGCCACCTTCGATCGTCCAGACGACTGTTTTTCCACGTCGCGAGAGCCATCCGGCGTCCACGAGCGCCGAGAGCGCCTCGTCGAACTGTTCGCGCGTCTACGTTTCGCTGGCTTGAGCGTCGGTCTCTTCGATCGACTGGTGCACCGATCTATCGCAGAGGATGTTCCTCTTTCAGAACCATGTAGAGTTGTGTAGCATACTCGATTGAGGCCGGTGAAGATGTCAAATAGCGGTGGTCTGAGAGCGCGATGTGACACGACACGCGCACGCACCACGATACGTCGTATGCGCACAGCACGATACACCACATTATACAAGATACTCCCACGACATGACGCGATACTACACAATCGCACACTCTCTCACACGACACGCTCCACGACAGATGATACTACCCGCCACGACATGACACGGTTGTACACGACACGACCACACTCACACGCACCCGACACACGACGCACAGGGCACACGCACTCGGGTACACGACACGATACTACAGGACACTCAACACCGCACGCAACGTGATACTACACACACATACTCACAACACACCAAGCGCACGACACTGCGACACGCACGCTCACGCACGACTGCGCCATTTACCGCTGGCGTCGTGGAGTGCATCATCATGATCGTCATGCAGCAGCAGCAATAACAACTCGTCCTCCACCAAGAGAGCGTCTGACGAACCACCGAACATGAAAAAAGGGGCGCGCATTTTATTCGTGCATATCAAGACCGTTGGCCCCAAACAAGTAGGAGTCGTGTGTGACACAGGTTGCGATGTAACCAGGGTCAACCCGTTTACAGCCCTGCGGCTCCGCTCGGGGTGTCCTTGCAGATCTCCACAATCGCTTTGCCGACGTTCTTGCCTTCGAACAGGCCCAGCAAGGTGGGCACCTGTTGTTCAACACAACCATACATTTATGTACAATATTATTTCTCTTTTTTTTCGCTGAACGGAAAGCTGCAACAGTTTTGTTGACGGGAGAAGCGTACGGATTCTTCCAGGCCATGACTGATGGTCGTCTTGTACTTGATGTGGCCTTCCTTGTAGAGCCTGGCCAACTCAGTTCTGGCTTCTTCCACCCTGTCAAAGTAGTCGTACACCAGGAGGCCCTGCAACCCAAATTTGTGTTGTGTTGTTTGTTGTTGAGCAATGCGGGCAGGAACAAAGATAGTGGAGGTGGAGGTGAGGGTGCCTTAATAGTGACTCTTTTGGCTACAAACAGCCAGTTCTTGTAGATCGGTTGCGGGTTGTTGTACGAACTGATCTGCAATTGACAAAGTTCCCATGTAACGCCCGCGTTGTTCCGTCACATTGCAACCAGCGTGAGTATGCGCCTTGGCCCAAGCTCGGGCGGAACTCAGGCAGTACTAGAATAGTTTCGGGAGTAGAGAGAGAGAGTACGTACACAACCGCAGCTGACCACGCGGCCTCCGACCTTAAGGTTCTCAAGAACGGCGTCCAGGGTGGGGCCACCAACTCCGTCCCAGAAGAGATCGATTCCTTCGGGGCATGCGCGCTTGAGTTCGTCGCTCAGACGGTCTCCGGCCTTCTTGTAGTCGACGCAGTCATCGAAGCCATACTCCTCCTTGACGACACGAACTTTCTCAGTTCCGCCAGCAATGCTGTCGACGAGATCACACATACCACACCACGTGGGTCAGACGCTGAATCACAACAGGAGGGCTATTAATTAATGCACAATAAGTACCCAATGACACGGCAGCCCTTGATTTTGGCCAACTGGCCTACAACCATGCCGACCGCGCCAGTGGCGGCACTCACCACCACCGTTTCGCCCTGCTTGGGCTTCCCCTTGTGGTTCAGCCCTGGAGTTTCAGGACCACCACACACACACACACACACACGAATAGAGGGACAAAAAAGAAAACCAGTTGGTGAGTTGACAGGCAGTGGGGAATTTGTGGAGATTTCAGATATAGAGTTGACAAGAGAGAGAGGAAGGAAGCACCAAAGTAGGCGGTCCAGCCAGTCATGCCCAAGAGGCCCAGGTTGACATCCAGGGGAAGGCCTTTGGTGTCGAGCTTCTGCACAAAACGCGGCTTGAACATCTCTGGGCTGATCACATCTGTGCTCAAAAAAAAACATGAGATATTAGTTATTGTTGGAGTCCAGAAGCCAACGTGAGGCCCTCAGGATGAGTGCGTACCAAAGAGCCTCCAATTGAGCATGCCCATGACATAGTCCCCTTTGTTGAAGTTGTTGTTCCTTGAGTCAATAACCTGGAGTTCCCATTTCACATGATGTGGGGTGAGACAAAGTTGTGAGATCTCAGATGACCAGATGATCAAAGGGTGAGGGTGAGAAAAGGTGTGGAGGTCAACCTTGGCGATGGTGTCGCCGTACATGGGCTGGCCCTCCTCATAAGGCTTGGTGTACGAGTTCACCTCAGTCATCTTCACACCCCCACCACGCCGCCACCCCACACAATCAATAATGTTTGTTACATGTCAACGCCATTGGGTTTTGGTCGTACCTTGGGGCGCATGTATGGGTCAACTGAAAGGTACAGTGTTTGCACCAAAACCTGTGTTGATATCCAACCAGGAATTCAGCACAAGCTTAAAGTGTGAACCGACAATAATGGTGTGCATGGGAGGAGCATGTGCCTGGCCATCCTTGGTGAGCCTGGGGTAGTCGCAGTCCTGGAGTCTAAAGTTGTTCTCTGTGGGCCTGTCCTTGGGCCTGGAGGCAAAGATCACCTCCTTGTTCCTCGTCTGTTGCTGGGCCATGTTGTTGTCTATGTTGTGCAGTGGATAGGCATGCAATGAGGACTGGCTCTGGTACTTGCTTTTTGTAGTGCAGGACGCACACCACCACCTACAAGCAGACGAGATGTCGTCAGCTGCCGGTCGAGGCTTCGGGACAGCCTCACTGGCTCCTCGTGTGCAGCGCCAATACTTCCGCCATGGAGAAGAGTGCGCCCGATGCCTCCAAAACTCTGGTTCCCACAGGGCCTGATAGGCACCCGTGGGAACCCAACAGTCCAAAGACCAACCGCCTCCAACAGGACAACTCATGTCCCACTTTTCGATGGAAATTGGTCGCCATGGCAACGACTGCCCGCACAGATTGCGGCACCAGTGCCCTATAAATAAACTACCACCGCTGTTTGTGCACACACACACACTCATACAGAACACCAAACACAACAACATCAACCCTGCGAAATGGCCTCCACGACCGCTACCAGACAACAGCAACAGCAACAGCAACCAGAGCTGAAGCTCTTTGACCCTGACATGAGAATTCCTGACAAGATCCGCGTTCCCAAGTTGCAGACCAACCTCCTGATCAACAACCGGTGGGTCCACCCCAGGGTCGACAAGACCTTCGCCACCATCAACCCGGCCACCGGGGAGACCATCTGCCAAGTCTCCGAGGCTCATGCGGAGGACGTCGACCTGGCCGTGCACGCGGCTAAGAACGCCTTCCCGGCCTGGTCCACAACTCCAGGTGCGCCAACCCCTCAATGGGCAATCGGCCATGTTGGAACTCGTTCCTGTGCTCACACCTCGTCTTTGTTGAAGGCACGGAGAGGGCTCGGCTGTTGCACAGGCTCGCCCAATTGATCGAAGAACACCAAGATGAGATCGCGGCCATCGAGTCGCTGGATTCGGGCAAGCCCTACGCGTCGCACGTGAAAAAGTTTGATCTGCCACTCGCGGCCAACACCTACCGCTACTACGCCGGTTGGGCCGACAAGATCCAGGGCAAGACCATCCCGGTGGCCGGACCCTATCACGCCTATTCGCTGCTGCAGCCAGTGGGCGTCGTGGGCGCCATTATTCCATGGAACGTACGTTGTTTGCAATCGTCAGCT